TAATTCAGTTCAGGGACAAGAACTGTAAGATGACTTTCTGAGACACTTCTAAGGTTTACTTGAATAGAGCTACAGCCAATATCCAGGTATGAATTATTTCTCTGATCTCTTTTCCAAGTTTGTCCCCTCCCACCTCCTACTACAGCTCATTACCATTCCCACAGACTTGGAAATCAAGACTTGCATATCACCTTTCATCCTTACAAAAACCCTAGACCAGATGGTTTTAATTCATGTTTTTTTAACCATGCTTGGGCTATCATTAGCCAAGATATCACTGCTGCTATTAAAGACTTCTTCACCTTTGGTAGAATGCTATCTGATATCAACTGTACCTACATAGCTCTTGTACCCAAAAAACGAAACCCTGCACAGTGAATGATTTCAGACCAATATCCTGTTATAATTTGTTATATAAATGCATATCCAAGCTTATTGCCACCAAGTTAGGTACTGTCATTCATTTCCTTATCTCCCCCTCACATAATGCATTTATAAAGGATGGGTAAATTTCAAAATACATTTTGATTGCACATGAGCTTCTAAATGGTTATCAAAAATCATCACACACACCATGTTATACACTCAAAATTGATTTGAAAAAGGCCTTTGATTCACTACATTGTCAGTTCATTATTGACTCACTGTATCTCTTTGGTTTTCCCAACCAATTCATACGTTAGATTGAGCAATGTATATCAACCCCCTCTTATTCAATTTCATTGAATGGGGAACTCTTTGGATTTTTTAAGGGTAGAAGAGACATCAGACAAAGAGATCCACTATCACCATTGTTGTTTGTCTTGGCAATGGAGGTCCTTTCTTAAGCCATTACCAAGAACATCTATCTGAATCCCACATTTAAATACCATTGGAGATGTAGTAAACTAACTATTACTCATCTTGCATTTGTAGATGATATCCTTCTCTTCTCTTATGGGAATTTTGCTTCAGTTGAGGTGTTATTTTCCGCCTTAAACAAATTTTTGAGCATATATGGTTTGTTAATTAATTGTGCCAAAAGCCAAGTGTTCTTTACTGGGGTGGATGCACACACTAGGGCAAATATTAACTTCCTCCTGTAGTTTGATGTTGGGAACCTACCAATTACCTACCTGGGATTACCTCTATCCTCTTCAGCCATTAATGCAACCAATTGTCAAACTCTGGTGCACAGAATCACAAAGAGAATCACAATGTGGACTTCAAGATTTTTATCATATGCTGGAAGAGCAGTGTTGATTAAGTCCATTCTCTACTCCATTCAAGCCTATTAGACATAAGCATTCATTTTGCCACAAAAAGTCATTGACCAAATCAACCAAGTCATTAGATGTTTCTACTGATCTAGAGTAGAATTAAGAAAGGGGGAGCAAAGGTAGCTTCGACAACCATTTGTAGACCTAAAGCCAATGGTGGACTGGGATTTCCTTGCTTGGAGATGACAAATAGAATTTCAAGTCTCAAACACTTATGGAAGCTGTGTGTTATGAAGGATTCTTTATGGGTTGCTTGGGTTCACAGATACCTTATAAAGAATAGAAGCATTTAGACTATCAAAACTTCAGCATTAAGTTTTGGTTTCTGGAGAATACTGCTCAAACTGAGGGGTATGGCACGCAAGGGGTTTAATAACGCACAAGGTTGGTTTAGGTTTGGATACAAGCATATGGATTGATTACTGGCTCCCAAATGGACCTATCTCATCTCAACTTGATCTCACTGAAATGAAAATTCTTCAGCTGGACTATCAAGTCAAAGTTGATAGTCTAATTTCCAACTGTTAGTAGACAATCCCACCATCCCTTCAACAAAATCCATTCTTCCCATTTCAATCGTTCATTTCACAGCTCCATAGTTTAGACAACCCATCACCATTACCAGACCTGATCCAATGGTTATCAAGTGCTCCACTGGACTACTCTCACAAACTCACCATGGATTACTTCACCCCATCATCAATTTTATTTGCATGGCATCACATTATCTGATTTAAGCATCATATCCCCAAGCATGGACATATAGTTTGGATGGCTATCAGGAATAGGCTCTACACAGTGGACTCAAAACCCATGAGACACAAGCATAAAACAAATGCCTACTTTCTTTGTTTAGCTAATTGGGAGTCATTGGATAATTTATTTTTCAAATGTAGATATAACTGTGCCATTTGGAACTTCATTCAAAACGTAGCAGGATTCTATATAATGCCAAGTTGCTGGTCTGACCTTATTGATTGGTGCTCTAAGTTTTGGAAACATGGGGATTTCACTACATACAAGTTGCTGCTTTTAGTTGCAATTTATTTCATTTGGCAGTAAAGAAACTCAAGGGCTTTTAGGAACAAGTCCTCCCCACCACAGATTCTTATCAAAACAATCAAGAGCTGTGTTAGGGCAAGACTTGCCTCAATAAGGTTAAGAAGAAGTGAAGATTTAAGGAGGATTGGCACTATGAGGGACCTCCAAACACTGTTCCAACAGGGCTGTGCTTTTGCCCTTAGGCAGCCTGGTCTCCTTCTTTGAGGTTACAGGGGTCTACAATATTGGGGAACATCGCAGCAGCATCTTCAGCTGCTGATAGTGGCTGTTTGTTATATACTTCATTAGCTATCAACCTAGTCTTTTGTTGCAGACAACTTGTCAAGATTGATATTCTGGTATGGACTTCAACTAGCTTAAGTCTGGCGGTTTGGTATTTTGGTACTACTTTGTTTGGATCCTCTGTGATCTTGTAACAGCTTGATTTATAATTGTGACTTATATGTTATATAGTTTTTTTCTTATTTATAAAAGCTTACCCATTCAACCCAAAAAAAAAAATGAATTGATTAAATAAAAACAAAAGCAGGTGTGAAAGTTGCTAGAACCAACACTGAGGGAAGGAAAAAATATACGACTCCTGACATCATGTTCAAAACTTCCATTCACATGGGACTCGCTGTAATAACATTCTTATCTAAATTTAGTGTTTAAGAAGTGCAATTGTATTGCATACAATATCACTCTAGAAGTCAAAAAGAGTATTTTAATGTGTAAAAATTAAATATTTAGATTAAAATACTTAAATCAAGGTAAACGTGGTGAAATACTTGATAGATCCCTCTGGCAATGCAAGTATTCTACCTATGGTATTGACATCTAAGGTGAATTCTGTTCCTGAAACATAGGAAGACATTTTGCGCCTATTTGGACTTTAATTACTACATTATTCTTGATTTCAATAAGTTGACTATGAATTTAAACCTTAGGATACCTGCCTGGCTGGCTGGCTAGCTAGACGTACTAACTTGATATTCGAGAATGAAAGTTCTAAATCAATAGATACAATATACAAGAATCAAATTGAAAAAATCTTTTAGTTTTCTTTAAAACTTAACATACTTATATACTCACAAAAAAAAAAAAAAAAAAAAAAAAAAAACCTTTATGCAAGTAATACTGAACTGCTCCAAGGTACTGAGATATATTAGTGATTCATTATGTGTCAAGAATGATAACATTATTGGAGTTGTAATCCTTATTTTTTGATAGCATTACTGATAGGGAAAACTGCTTGTATAATAATTTCTCTCTTTTAATACTATATATATATATATATATCTATATAAATATCTCTCTCTCTTTTAAAGGGCAAGTGAGAAAAACATCTCTAATGCCTAAATTTTAGGCAAATATTACCTTTTAAAGTTTTTTTTATTTTATTTTTATTATTATTATTTTTTTAGGTATATGAGTGCGTTAAGTTTGAAAAAATGATCAAAGAAGAGTTTGAGTTCACTGTTTGGTTATAAATTTAGCTATATGCATTGCGCATGACCTTTTTAAGATATAAAATTTTGAAAATACTATTTTCTCTTTCAATAATGTCCTTATTATATAATAAGAAAAAAAAAAAAGACAATATAGTAATTTCACATTTAATTATTTTTTTACCTTTTTTTATTCAATTATAGAGGGATATTTTAGTCTTTTGCACATTCGGATCCTTATTTACTCTAAAATTAAATGTTAAGGATTTTTCATACACTCTATATACCGAAAACTATAACAAGCAAAAAGTGGAAACAACATTAAAAAAAAAACCTACTTAAACACACCAAACACTATAACGATTCTTAGTACACTCTTACTTCGCAGAAAAACAATAATAATAATAAAAAAAATTATAGCCCTTAGATTCATAACATGTTAGGAAGCATAGACACTTCTATGAAAGAATCGTACCCGGGTTATACCGGTGTTGGACATCGACACTCCAATAAAAATTAATTTTATTATTTCCGGCATTTCGTCGACACTTCCCGGACACTTTTCGAATATTTCGCCGACACTTCTCGGACATTTCTAACACAAATCTATCCAGTATTCTTGAAAATAATACGAATACTATCATGATAAAGTAGTGAAATAATAGTATATATAATATAAAAATTATTACAACAATGATATTATTTTATTTTCGAATTCATTTCAGAGCAATTCCTAGTATAGAAATCATAAATGAATTAAAATTTTATAATACTATTACTGAATAGATGGTGTATAATAATAAAAATTTATATTATTACGTAGTTGTATGCACGCTGTACTTGTGCCTTAATTTTTTAAAAGTTAATGTACCGATGTATCTGTATCAATTCGTGTCGTTTACATAAATAACATGTATTATTTTGTAAGCACGACCTTGCTATGAATGCTGGGTTCCCACAAAAAAGGTAGAAACGTGTATCATGTGTATTTCCAACAATAACGACACAATAATTACCTGAATTTTTAATTAATAATATAAATAATATACGAGATGTTTTACCTTAATCGTGCATAAACGTGGAAGATTCCGTGTGAATGTGTATGTCTATATATATATATATATATATATATATTCGTTAAAGTTAGTTGAAGATAACACTCGTATTTTAAAAAGAAAGTGATTATACTGAATCTTCCTCGTCTATTTCTCTGGAGACATATAAAAAACACTAATAGTTGGCTGGATTTTTCTTTTTAATTTTTAATTTTTTTATATCATTCTCTTGAAGGTTGATTGGTTGAAAGGTTACAATTGTATATAAAGACTGCTCATACACATAGCTTTTAAAGCCTCAGAATTTCAACCATAGTTGCATATAAACTTGAACATTTTTGTCAAAAGCTTTTTGTGAAGATTTTTTTGTCAGTCCAATGCAGAAAATGAATATAGACGATGTCAGAGGGACTACCAGTGAACATAATCGGCACAGCCACACTGACACAGATACAGTTGGGATTGACACGACAGCTCCGAATGGTCCTCTAAGTGGACCTTTGACAAAAAAAGCCGAAGAAAAGAGCGCCCGATTAAACAATCCCGAACCCACCACCACCAATAGTACAGCTGGTGGCAGCATCAGTAGCAGCACAAAGTCTGATGACAAAACCCACGTCGAGATCACCCTCGATGTCCGTGGTGAAGGCCCTATCGCTGTTCCCAGCGTGAAGACCACCGCTGGAATCAATGTCGAAGGTTCTGAGCTCACTTTGCAGGCCAAAGGCCTCGGGAAGAGGTCTTCTTTCAGCTCCTCAGCTGTCAGAAATGCTTCTTCACGGATAAGGAAGGTGTCTCAAGAGCTCAAGCGTTTGGCCTCATTGTCCAAACGAGCCAAGGCGAGTCGCTTTGAGAAGACTAAGTCGGCTGCAGCTCAGGCTTTAATGGGGCTCAAGTTCATCAGCAATACTGATGGTGGCGCTGGATGGGCCGAAGTGGAGAAGCAGTTCAATAAGCTCACCACTTCCACCGGTGGCTTGCTTCCTCGTGCGGACTTCTGCAAATGCATAGGTAAACCACAAATTCTTATTATCATTAGCATAGTTTAATTTAGAAGTGTTCTGAATAGATTTCAATATCTACTTAATGGCAGGGATGTATACGGAGTCCAAAGAATTTGCAGGTGAGCTCTTCGATGCACTTGCCAGGAGGCGGAATATAGCTGGTGATTCGATCAACAAGGCACAGCTAAAAGAGTTTTGGAATCAAATCTCAGATCAGAGCTTTGACTCTAGGCTACAAACTTTCTTCGACATGTAAAAAACAAGAAAATTATTGAATAATGTCTATACATGAATCATTTCCTGTATCATCATCACACACACACACACATATATATACACGTTTTACTAGCTAGTTAGTAAATTGTTGCAGGGTTGATAAAGATGCAGATGGAAGAATAACTAAAGAAGAAGTCAGAGAGGTATGACTATATATAAATACGTGGTCAGCTTATTGAGCCCAAAGATGATGTGTTTTGGAGTTCCACTGATTCTGCATCAAAATAGAAAATAAATAGTTTGCAGTTCATTAAGAATTTGTGTTTTTTCTGTCAAATTTATCTATACAGATTATCAGCCTTAGTGCTTCTGCCAACAAGCTCACAAATATCCAGAAACAGGCTGATGAATATGCAGCCTTGATCATGGAAGCATTAGATCCAAATAATCATAAATACATCATGGTACGCAACATTAAGCGACGTGAATTATATATAGTACCAATTTCACTCATTCGAGCAGGAATCAATCTGTTTTCACGAATGACAATATCTTACCATGTTGGCACAGATAGAAAACTTGGAGATGCTAATGTTGCAAGCTCCAAACAATGCTACAAGAGGAGGCAAAAGCCAGAACTTAAACAAACTGCTGACTCGGAAGCTTAAGCCTACTCAGGAGAAGAAACCGTTAACGAGATGGTTTCAGGACTTAAAGTACATATTGCAGGATAACTGGCAGAGGGCTTGGGTTATAGCACTCTGGATTGGGGTTATGTTGGGGCTATTTACATACAAGTTTGTGCAGTATCGAAATAGAGCTGCATATGAGGTAATGGGTCATTGTGTTTGTATGGCAAAAGGCGCAGCCGAGACCCTCAAGTTGAACATGGCTCTTATTTTACTACCAGTCTGCCGAAACACCATCACCTGGCTCAGAAACAAGACCAAACTAGGTGTCGCAGTTCCATTTGATGACAACATAAATTTCCACCAAGTAATACTAATCTCTTTATTCTTGATATATATATATATATATATATATATATATATATATATGCATGTATGTATTTGTATTCAATCAAGATGTAAAGGGTTGCTGCTGAAAATGGTGGTTTTTCTTTTAGGTAATAGCAGTGGCAATTGCAACTGGGGTTGGGATACATGGGATCTATCATTTAGCATGTGATTTTCCTCGCCTTCTTGACGAAGATCATGAGAAATATAATGAACTGATGAAGAAATATTTTGGGGACCAGCCTTCAAGTTACTGGCATTTTGTCAAGGGAGTGGAGGGAGTGACAGGGATTTTGATGGTAGTATTGATGGCAATAGCCTTTGCACTTGCATCGCCATGGTTGAGGCGAGGCAACCCAAATCTGCCCAAAACTCTCAAGAGGCTCACCGGCTTCAATGCCTTTTGGTATTCACACCACCTATTCATTATCGTGTACACTCTTCTCATTGTGCATGGCATCAAGATTTACTTGACCCATGAATGGTACAAGAAAACGGTTAGTGCCATGTCATATTCCATTTCAACACATATTTGTTCTTATAATGATATAAATCTTGAATCTTCAAATTTACACAACCCTTTGCCATTGGCAGACCTGGATGTACTTGGCAGTTCCAATTGTGCTATATGCTTGTGAAAGATTCATTAGAGCATTTAGATCTAGTATCAAGCCTGTCAAGATCCTAAAGGTATACGATTTAGCCGTTTTTACAATTTTGTGTGCGTGTATGTATTTATTTACGTATGTACAAGGCAGACAGGAAAAAAGTTCTATTCTAATATACGCAGGTATTTTTGTTCACATTGAAATATGAAGGCGCCTGTTTATCCTGGAAATGTTTTGGCGCTTCACATGTCAAAGCCTCAGGGATTTGAATACAGAAGTGGGCAATACATGTTTGTCAACTGTGCTGCTGTTTCTCCATTTGAGTGGTCGGTGGTCTTACTATATTAGTTGTTGATACTTTTAATTTTCTGTTTTTACTTTATTTTTATACTAAATCTATAGTATTTTTTTGTGGATATATTGAACTCTTTATCCAATATAATACCTTAAAATATAAAAGGACTTTTTTTTTTTTTTTTTTTTAATCTTCTGTTTATCTTCTTCAAGTCATCAACGTTTTATTGCTTAGTTTTGTAATTTCTGGTGGCTTACTTGTTAACAGGCACCCATTCTCCATTACTTCAGCGCCTGGAGATGACAACCTGAGTGTTCATATCCGAGCTGTTGGCGATTGGACACGACAACTCAAAACTGTGTTCTCACGGGTAATGTTTTATTTTTTTTGGGTGCGTGCATGTGTGTCCTACGGTATAGCAATTTTGCTTCCTCTGGGAAGATCAGGTTAAATTTTATAGCAGCCAGTGGAGAAATTTAATAATGTCAGTGCCTTAATACTAGTTGAGGGGGGAAAACTGGAGATTAGCATTCAGTCATGTTCAAACTGATCGAGCAATCTTGATGGTGAAAAGCCCTTTAGTATTTACTTCCACAATGTTTAAATGAATTACGAAATCATGGATCACAGTATATATATCTTCTGCTGACATGGTGTGAAAACCCATCAACCCAACAAATTGTACAATCAGATCAACTGCATATCATCATGTATAAATTTATATCACATCTAATATCACAATAATAAAAACAGGATATCCTATTTCTAACGTTAGTAAGCATGGTAAGAATTCACAACTCTAAAAATTGTTTGGTAAATTATTTGTGATACTTTGAAGAAACTTAGAAATCATTAAATTCACAGTAAAAAAATCTAGGAAATCATTAATTTATATGGAATAGATTCGAGATTATTGTTTCTAGTACTATCTCCATAACTAAACTAAAGTAAACTCTACATGTTTTTTATTAGGTGTGCCAGGCAACACCTAGTGGGAGAAGTGGACTCCTCAGAGCAGACTGTTTGCAAGGAGAGAGCAACCCAGAGTATGTAATTTCCGAGTATTTCATTCATACTATACTTTCACTATTGCCTATATAAATAATGTCATCAGATATGAGTAAACCATAGATAGGAACATGTAACAAACATGTGCACCCATCCTCTCATTGATAGGGACTGAATATGAATGGGCCAATAATTGAAGTGCATGTAGTCATTTTTATCTAACGTTAGAGATTGTATGGCATAGACATTTATCCATCTTTATTTATCTTTTTAAAGAAAAAAATCAAACATGCTTTTGGATGTAGAAAATGGTGTGTTTAATGGATGAGGAATGCTCTGGACTACCATTATTGCGTGACTGTTCAGCCTCATTCATTGAATGAGGTGAGCTCTGCATGGGCTTCTATGACCTCATCTTCACAAAATCAGTACTTCCTTTAATTCTTAATTGAATTTACGACGACGATTATGATTGTTGACCAATTGATGGATTGATGATTGTAAGAATGTTGATATATGGTTTTTGGAGAGTGGATAATTAAAGACATTACATATCTTTTTGGGAAACAAATCACCCATGCTTTTGAAACTATAGCAACTTGCATTTAGAGGAAGAGGTATGCTTTGGAGACAGTCAAAATTCGTTCCAACCTCATCTGTTATATGACGTGAACCCCATGTGGGCTCCACCCACCTCATCCTAACGTTTGTCCATAACATTTCTCTTAAAAAATATGATGGGGGTGATTATTGATTGGTTGATAAAATGATACGCAGTTTTCCAAGAGTGTTGATTGATGGCCCATACGGGGCACCAGCGCAAGACTACAAGAAATACGAAGTGCTGATGCTAGTAGGGCTAGGAATCGGGGCAACACCGATGATCAGCATTGTCAAGGACATTGTGAACAACATGAAGGCCATGGAGGAAGAAGAGAATGCCTTAGAGAATGGAGTGGCTGGTGGTGGCAACACACCACTAACTTCTAGTCCCATGGCACAAAAGCAAAAGGATGGATCAGGGAGTGGTGGTAGTAACTTCAATACAAGAAGGGCATACTTCTACTGGATAACAAGGGAACAAGGCTCATTTGACTGGTTTAAAGAGGTGATGAATGAGGTCGCTGAAATAGATCATAAGGGAGTGATAGAGATGCACAACTACTGCACTAGTGTCTACGAAGAAGGTGATGCTCGCTCGGCTCTCATTTCCATGCTTCAGTCGCTAAACCATGCCAAGAATGGTGTTGATGTTGTCTCTGGTACTCGTGTGAAATCCCATTTCGCCAAGCCAAAGTGGTGCAGTGTCTATGAACACATTGCTCTCAATCACACTGATGCTACAGTTGGTGAGTCTCACTAATTATAATGCCTAATATATTACTCCCTCCGTTCCAAAAAAAATGTCATGCTTTGGGAGCTGTGACTCATATTGTTTTAGGGGGGCGGAGGTAATAATTTCTTATGTAGTTAAAATATAGTTATCACTATTGAATGCAAAAACATTCTATAATTTTTAATTTCTGCTTGATATTTCTTTCAGCTAGATTGTTTTAGGGCTCATATTTATAACATTTGTTGATACAAAAAGGTGCTGCCACGGACTTTGAGTAAGATTATGTAGGTAACAGAAGTATGTATCATAACATGTATTTCCTTCATTGAGACTGTGTGTGTGTCCTGGCAAGGAAGTCCCACAATTTTCTTGGGGAAACTCAAACCCTCTACCTTTACTTTGAAAGGATAGGAGACATTTAGAGTTTTGGCCTAAATTTATTTAAATTTTTTTTTTCTTCTTTACTTTTTGTCATTTCATTTAAAAGATGTTAACCACTTTCATACAAGGACATGTTACCATATACTTTAACTAAAATGTAGTAGGTAATAAATCTATGAACTTATTTCTTAAAGCCGTCTATGTATAAAATATATAGATGTTATGTTTGAGAGCACCGTATCTGCACCTTAGAATTGAAGAGGAAATTTCAATTTCTTTCAACAACGCTTTGAACTAAATTTTTTTCAATTCCAATTCCAATGCACCGATTTGGTGCTCCCAAACGCAAGATGACTTATTTTCACTTTATACTTATTTTAACGAAATCGTTTTAGGATTCACATTCAAAGCTTCTGTCTAACGTAATTTTTTTCTTTTCACGTTCTGTCATTTCCATGTAAAAAGACGTTGCTCCATATTTTGTCTAAGAAAATGTAAGGAAAGCATGTGGTAATTTCTAAGGCCCACAAAACAAAGAATACATATTAAGAGTCTTTATATCGCGTATTTCTTAGTGTTCACATTCATAGCTTCTATTTAACTTGAAACTTGTTTTTGTTTTTACCTTTTCATTTTCCATACAAAGATTTGGCCACATGTTTTGACTAAGAAAATGTAAAACATTGGTTTTTTATTATTGCACTTACTTATTATGCTTTTGTATTTATTATATGGAGATTATTTTAGGGTTCACACCACTCATAGCCTCCATCTAACTTAGTATTTTTGTTCACCCTGTCAATTTCATATGGAAAGGCGAAAGGCTTTCCCATACAGATAGACAAGTTAGCATAAGACCTCCTGATGTAATCTAGAGGTTTTGTTTTCTATTTATGGGAGCATTAAAAACCTGCTTCCTGCACTTACCTGATACTCATGGTTTGCATTCGCTGCGGGCCGGTATTGAAAGGGATTAGTCTTGCTCTGAAGAGAGTGGAGACACCCTGGTTCAGAGAAGCTGCAGGTAACCAAAGGAGTTAGTCCTACCTCTAAAGAGATTGGGGACACCCTCCATTATTTAAAAAATGACAATTACATAGAAAGTAAGAAAGAAAACAGATGGAGGACACAACACAACAAAATAGTGGTAGTGCTTTATGTTAATGATGATAGCAATTATATTAAGTTTATGTTACAAATCAATTACATATTATATCTTTCTTTTCTTTTTTTTTTTTTTTTAGGCGTAAAAGGTAAGCTTGAAATCTTTTAGTCTTTTGTTATAACACGAATTTCTTTCTTCTAGGTCATTTTAGGGTTCACATCCCCTACTTTAAATCTCTTCTTACTCTCTGTCATTTTTGTACAAACATATATTGCCACTACTTTGGCTGATAGATTAGATTTTTCTGTTATCTCGCATGAATTATTTATTTTATTATTTCTTTCAACGAGATTGTTTTAGTTTTCATATTCATAGCTTCCCACTTAATTTGAATTTTTTTTTTTCTTCTTTTCACTTTCTGTCATTTCCATACAAAAAGAAGAAAGATACATATGTATAGCAGTGTTGTACTTTTGTTAATGATGATAACAACTTATGCTTAGTATTATGTTGTTATACATCAGTTACACCTTAGTATAATCTTAATGGAGTTTGTCCTTTATAAACGCAGGGGTGTTTTACTGTGGCCCACCAGGACCTACAAAGGAGCTAAGAAAACTAGCTTCAGATTTCTCTCACGAGACCTCCACTAAATTTGAATTTCATAAAGAAAACTTTTAACCTCAATGGAAGAGAAATAAGGCTTGAAGAACCAGCAGATCACACAAATCTCTAGAGTCCCACCACCATTATCATCCCAATCTCTCTATCTTGTGGAAAGCTAAAGTTGATGTTCTTGGCTTTCAAGTATTACTTTACAGATAGAGAATTGTGACATATCATGAGTGAAATTAGATGCAGGCAGAAGATAGTGGAATTGGAAATGGTTGATGGAGATCAGTGGCAGCAGCCCTTAAAGGTATATAAAAGGCTTGGAAATGAGGGTTCTAAGGCTCAAGCCTTAATTTGGCATATGCTAGATGATGTGGGGTCCACTTGGAGTCTTGAATAATTGGGATTTTGATCGAGTTGCATCATTTATGAGCTTGATGGGCATGATGATGCAATTCAACTGGGTTTTATTTGATTTTATTTATGCTAATAAGTCATGAGTTTTGAATTTGAAGAGTTGCGAGTCTTATTGATTACCTTAATTATGGGGTAAGTTCAAAAGTCATGAGTTAACTTCCATGTCAGTCTAAGAGGGATGAGCAGAATCCTATAAAGGGATGAGGTGTAATCTTGATTGGATCAGTGAATGAATAAAAATATATATATCTTGTGAAATTTTCTTGTGAGTAATTAATAAATTATGAGGGTGTGATGCCTAGATCTGTGGATATGACTCGAATAGGCTGCCCTAAATCGATTTCTTTTCTCCTTGATTTTAAACTCTCCATCTCTACTGTCAAACCTCAAATCCATTAGTTGAATTTTCAGCCACTGGACTCTTTAATTTTCAGCTATTTGAGACTGCTCTTAATGTCCTAAATCAATGGCCTTGTTTGGATAATACGTATATTATGTTGATATTAAGGCATTTCACATGAACTTATGCTGAAATGATTCATTTGAATATTCATAATAAAATTGTTTTGTGTACTTATTTGACGCACTGTTTCTACATAATTAAAATAGAATGAAAGCTTTGTGATGATTTCTTGTTTCTCACAATTTAACTGTTTTTAAATCTTAATCTATGTCATTAGTGTGTGAAAACTTACCATCTGGTTTTTCTCATTCATGTCAAAATTGAGACTGGAGATCATTTTAGATTTGCTTACATGCTGGTTCACCTCCACTCCCAGTTTAGAACTGGTCCACATGAAAAATCTCTACGGTGGAGGAGGTAGGCCGTTGCAATGATTGTAGAGAGAGAGAGAGAGAGATTTCAGAATTGGTCGAATTTATGAAATTTCTCTAAGGTGGAGGCAGGTAAGCACAGTTGCAATGGTATGGGAAATGCTGGAGTTGGCAACAAATGAGGATCAGACAGAGTTGCTCAAAAGAGTCCTATTCATTATGAGTAGGTTGGGAAACTTGAACCTGTTTTTTCAATTAGCAAAAAGAATACAGCCAAACCTGGTTATTTCAAGGTGTAGGCAGGTTGAATCTAGTTGACTTTGCAGTCCACAGTTGCATTGTCTACCATTGAGGCTAAGTCCATGGCAACCACAAGAGGGAGTGAAGGAAGTTATATGCCTGAAAGGCTTGGTTGGTGATTTGGGTTTGCAGCAGGATGATTTGACTGTGTTTTACGACAACCAAATGCCATACATCTGACTAAAAATCAGATGTTCCATGAGAGGATCAGAGATGTGATTGCACAGGGTGCTATTGCAATGATGAAGATTGGGATAGCAGAGAATCTGGCAGATATGATGACTAGGTCATTCCCACTATCAACTATTAGTGTTTTTAAATAGTTGAGGCCCTTAGGGGCATGTGGAGGAGGTGAGAGAAGTAGCTGGGAGTGTGGAGCTTGGTGAAAATCGAGCAAAGGTGGAGATTTGTGATGTTGTGGCCTGAATTTTATCTTGGCCCGGGTACCGTTACAACCTAATTTCGACACAAAAATGGGCTTTGTCGCCCAAGCCCACCAAAGGCATGGTCGTTCGGGGGCAGTGGCCTCAAGAAAACAATTTTGACCTAGTTTTTCGCTTGTGGGTCTTGGACAGCACGGACACACACTATGCCTGTAACGTATTGGTGTCGGACACGTGTCCGACACAGACACGTGTGTTGGAGGGCTGGACACGTGTCCGACACATTGTAACTGTGTCCTGTTTTTTTATTTTTTAAAACTAGCAAAGGATACGCCGACAACATGCCAGCGACACGGGATAGGACACGCTAATTGGATCTTTTAGATTTTTTTTTGAAAAAAAAAAGAAAGAGGAGGAGAAGATGATATATCATTATATCTATATAGATGTCTATATATTCATCTCTATCTAATAGACAAAAAAGTTAATAAATGAAATAAAGTATAAATTGATACAATACAACTAAATTTACATATCTATTTGCCAAAATCGTGTCCTTCTTTTCTATCTCTATCTCTCTGTCATGCTCTTCTTCTTCGCTTGAGGATTAGCAACGGCAGTAGTGGCTTTCCTTTTTTTTTTTTTATCCACACTCTGACCATATTAGCTTTGTTCGATCTAAAAGTTTGGGCAGAGGAGAATATAAACAAAAAAAGATAAAACAAGTTGAAAAGATGAAAGAAGACAGAAGACAGAGAAACACCCCAGAATGAGAGATGAAAATAAGGGGCAGTGATAAGATTTGTACTGCAATCTGCGTTGCATTCTTATCTTCTGTGACCACTTGTTTGGTCACAAGACTAACCCTATCCCTTTTGGATATAAGATTTGTACTTGAAAGAAATTTGGGCACATAGGCTATATGATGGGCCATTACATATATATATTATTAAATATGAAATATTAAGTGGGTCAATTTTAAATGGGTTATGAATAATTTTTTATATATAATAAAATTAAATTATTATTTTATTGTCGTATCCTTGCTGTATCCGTATCCTATTTTTTTGAGATTTGACGTATCGCAGTATCCGTCGTATCATACATGTGTCTTGTGTCAGTGTCCATGCTACCTAGCCAATATATAAGGGCATTTAAGGTTTTGGGGTGAGATAATGAGAGAACACTGAAAATCGCAGGAAAACGAGTGAGAGCAAGAGTTAGGGTTTTGGGGGCTGAAAGTTGTAATCTCCTGTTTTTCGCATAATGAAATCTTTCACCGAATCTTCACCATGGACGTATCTTATATTTTGGGTGAATCACGTAAATCTGTGTTCTTTGGGTATGGTGTGTTTGTTTTTGTCGTGATTTGTGTTTTTTTCTTGGTTCGTTGCGTTTGACGTGTTAAATATAAAGAGAGAGTATAGAACTCTATATTGTATTGATGTGTGAGATATGAAGATACATATGGGTTTATATACATGACGAGATGTGTGGAGAGCAATAAACCTAAACCCTATATGGTAAACCTATAGGTGGTAAACCTATACATGATTAAAATATATTCTACAATATAGTAATAATATATTCTACAATATATTCTAACAGCCCCCCTCAAAATCAAGATAGATGGAATGAAATCATTTTGAGTTTGGAAATGAGATCTTGCAAGCGGCATGGCGGAAGTGATTTGGTGAAGATGGGTTTTCACCCATGATGAAGATGGAGACACGATTAACAGCTGACGTGGCACTATTGCTGGCACTGCTGCTGACTGTGTCTGACATGGCACTACTGCTGGTACCGCTGCTAGTTGTGTCTGACATGGCAACTGTTGTGACAGGTGACACACTACTATTGGCACCACTATTGATGTGTCGTGGAGGCTAATTGGGTGGCCAAATAAGGCTTTTGCTGATTATAAAGGACTTGAGATTGAAGGTTGGGATGCGGAAGTATAAGTTTGAAGGTTGATCGCCGAAGGTTGACCGCCAAGGATGGGGCTGATGGTTCCTTCTCCGGCGGTGACTACGATAAATTGATAAGATTGTTACCAGTATTCTAGAGGCTCTGATACCATGTTAAATATAAAGAGAGAATATAGAACTCTATATTGTATTGATGTGTGAGATATGAAAATACATAGGGGTTTATATAGGTGGCGAGATGTGTGGAGAGCAAGAAACCTAAACCCTATATGATAAACCTATAGGTGGTAAACCTATACATGATTAGAATATATTCTACAATATAATAATAATATATTCTACAATATATTCTAACATGTCGTACCACTATATTAATAAAGTTACAATGATGTACTTTTAGGATCTAGTATAATATATAGATTTCCCTACACATCATCATTTTGAACAATCAACTTTTCTCTATAATATGTGACATTCATATGGAAACCAAGAAATCTTATCCAAATCGCTCGCTTTAATTTATCATCAGGTAGCAGTAGCAATTTTGAAATATGCTCAAGATTATACAGAATCTTGAAAAAGGCATTTAAGACAAAACATACACAAATTAGACTACAAAAATGAAACATTATCAAAGTTAAATAAAGACAAAAAAAAATTCTCAACATAGTTTTAAACTAAATCCAACCCTCAGAAATTAACCCCCCCCCCCCCCCCCCCCCCAATAAAATAATAATAATAATAATAATAATAATAATATAATAATAAAAATCCAACCTTCAGTAAAGACCCTCGAACCAAATAATTGATTGATGTCCAGGAGAGGTGAAACATCCTCTGATCCAACAAGGCGCTGTATGTTCATTCTTAGTTATATTAGAAATTTAGAACAAGAAACAGGGAAGTATAAAAGCAAAAAGGTTAAAAATGTAATGACCATGCTTGGACGCTCTAGTGATGTATGGTGAACATGGAAAAACAAAAACTCCAGTAGTCAGAGATCACTAAAATAACCAAAGAAAGCTATGAAGTATATGCTTGGATGCTCTATTATATTGTGTTTTTGTTTTCTGAACTTTTAGTGCCTTTAAGTCAGAAAAACACTAAGGTTTTGAGTGTTTCAATTTAAAAGAAAACTGACATTTGAACTTCTCGATTGATCGAGGTTAATCAATTGACACCAGGCCAGTAGGCTTCGAGGGATCAATCAAAGTCTTCTGTCCTTTTATAAATGGGATTCTGATTTTAAGAAGTTCCCAAAAATTCTTTAATGCATGCCAAAAAGGATTTATATGAATCAAACATGAAAAACATGAAACCCTAATTGATGAATGCATGAACCCTAATTAGTGAGTTACATTTACCTTTTTCCTTTGAATATATGTGGAATTCCAAATCTACCTTGGACAATGTACCACAATTAACTAGACACTCTAACAAACATAAAAATATTTAAAAGTACTAACCTAAATTTTTTATCACAAATTTTCCAACCTAAAGTCCTAAAACCTCGCAATTTTAGATGTAATAAAATTTTTAGAGTTGAATATATAAATTAATGTTAAGTTTCCTAAACCATGATGTTACCCAAGTATTGACTCTAGTAATTTTCAATTTATAGATTATCAATTTATTTACCTATATGTCCAGCCATAGAATATGTTGTGATTTGATTTAATTTCCTTTCTTGTAATATCAGCATGTGTTATTTTTATTTATAAATACTAGAGCTATGAATGAGTGATTCATCTCATTCAAGCCTTTACATAATTCTCTCTTTTTTATTCTTTTTATATATCTCCTGTATTTCTTTTTGGTATTAGAGCCAGCACCTTTCCACA